ACAACTTTGCTTGCCAAAGCAAGGAGGACTTCAAGTGCTTGCTGCAGAAGATCAAAGAATAGTCTTTAATATGGATTACATTTCAACATTCAGAAGACAAAACTTCTCACCAGTAGGTCAATAGGCAACTTCCTGATTGTTGTAGTTGTTGTATGTGCTGTCAAGTCGACCGACTCATAGGGACTCATACAACAGCTCTGAATCCTGCCCTATTCTGAGCCAATCTCCCTGACTCCAACACTTCTACCCCCACTTCCCCAGTTATTGTGCCAATCCGTCTCATCCAGTGTCTTCCTCTCCTGTGCTGTCTCTCCACTCTTCCAAGCATGATGTCCTTCTCCAAGGACTGGTCCGCCCATGGACGTGTGCCCAAAGTATGTGAGATGGAGTGTCAAAATCCTTGCCTCCAAGGACAGACTTGCTTCACTCTCTCTAAAAAAGATCTATTTGTTCTCTTGGTGGTCCAATTCCCTTCTCCAGCACCACAACTCAAAGGCATCAATTCTTCTTCTGTCACTGTCCAGCTCTTTGATGCATAGCAAGGATAGTGAAGACCATGGCCTGGATCAGGTACATCTTAGTCTCTAGACTGACGTCACTGCTTCTCAGTACTCTGGAGAGGTCCCTGACAGCAGATTTTCCCAATGCAATTAATCTTTTTATTTCCCGAGTGCTGGTGCCAAGAGTGTTGATTGTGGATCTGAACAAGCTGAATTTATTAACAATCTCAATCTCTTCTCCATCTACCATGGTGTTGCCAAGTGGCCCAGTAGGGAGAATCTGTTTTCTTGATGTTGAACTTCAATCGATATTGCAATCCATATTGCCTTGAACCTCTGCACCAAATGCTGCAGGTCCTCCACAGTTTCACCAAGCAAGGTTGTATCATCTGTATAAGGCATTCTTCCTCCAGTCCTGATGCCACGTTCCTCCTCATAAAGTGTAGCCTCTCGAATGATCTGTTCTGTATACAGATTGAAAAGATGAGGAGACAGGACACATCACTGACACATTCTTTTTCTGATTTTGAACCATGTGATGTTTCCTTGCTCTGTTCCAATGACTGCCTCCTGGTCCAAGTATAAGTTTCACATGAGCACAATCAAGTGTTCTGGGGTTCCCATTCTCCTCAAAATTAGCCATCATTTATTGTGATCCACACAGTCAAGTACCTTTACATACTCAGTGAAACACAGACATCCCTCTAGTCTTCTCTGCTTTCAGCTAAGATCTACCTAACAATGGCAATGATGTCCCCAGTGTCATGGCCTCTTCTAAACCCAGCCTGCATTTCTAATAGTTCTCTGTTGGTGTACTGTTCCAGTCACATTTGGATAATGATAATCTTCAGCAGGATCTTGCTTGCATGTGATATTAGTTATATCATTCTATTATTTCCACACTCAGTTGGATCACTCATATACATTGTGTTTTAGAAAATTAATCACCATTGGTCTATGCCTACTATCATCCTGTATTTTCATGTCCCTGTTGGATTTTTCATAATTCCTTCACACTTTCCTTCTGCCCACCAAACGCTGTTATCTTAGTGATTTCCCCCTCTCCCCAACTTTCCTCCAATCTGTCCGCTTCCCCTTCCCCTTCCCCTTTTGGACTTTCATACACATCTTACTACTTATCCTTTTTTTTTTCACAATAATGGTCTTATGCAGTATTGTGCTCATGATTCCGAGTTGGTTCTCTCAGTATAATGCTCTCTAGAGTCTCTCATGTTATAAAGAATTTTACAAAATTGATGCTCCTCAGTGCTACATAGTATTCCATTGTGTGAATAAACCATAATTTCTCAAACCATTTGTTTGTTAATGGACATTTGGGCTGTTCTATTTTCTTGCTATTGTGAATAACACTGTTACGAACATAGGTGTACAAATCTGTCTTTCAATTCTATTTTCCTTATGGTATATTCTTAGCAGTGAAATAGCTGAGTCATATGGGATTTCTATGTTCAGTTTTTTGAGGAAATGCCAAAGTGCCTTCCAGAGTGGTTGTACCATATTACAATCCCACCCACCAACAGTGTATAAGAGTTCCCACCTTCCCACATACTCTCCAACATTTATTGCTCGCTGTCATGTTAAACTTTGCTACTGCTACTGGGCATGTTGCAAGGGGGGACTGGTCCTTGGAGAGGGACATCATGTTTGGCAGAGTGGAGGGGTGGCGAAGGAGAGGAAGACCTTTGATGAGATGGATAGATTCTGTGACTGGAGCGGTGGGAATAAGTGTGTTTGAGATGGCTAGGTTGGCACAGGATAGAACAACATTTAGAACTCTTGTACATAGGGTCGCTATGAGTCTCAAGTGACTCGATGGCACATAACAACAACAACTGGAGGGAGATGGTATCTCAGTGGTTTTGATTTGCATCTCTCTTACTGCCAGTGATTTTGAGCATTTCTTCATGCTACAACCTTCCATGTAGGTTATATCTCAACAAGAAAATAAATATCCTCACGACGGAGCCCAGAGAAAACATCATAATAGATGGAGAAAAGATTGAAGTTAATAAGGGTTTCATTTTACTTGGATCTACAGTAAACACCCATAGTAGCAGCAGCCAAGAAATCAAAAGACATGTTACACTGGGAAAACTGGCGGTCAAGGACCTCATTAAAGTGTGAAAAACCAAGAATGTCAGTTTACTGGCTATGGTGAACCTAATCTAAGCTAAGGCATATTTAGCTTCTTGCTCATCTGAAAGTTGGACAAGGAATAAGGAAGAAAGACGGGATAAATACCTTTGCGTTGTGGTGTTGGAGGAAGCATATTAAATATCCCATGGCCAAAAAGAACAAATTGGACTACAAAAATACAAACAAATCTTTCTTGGAGGAAGTTTAACCAAAGTGTTCCTTAGAGATGAGGACAGTAAAACATTGTCTTACATAATTTTAGTGTGCTGTCCTTGGAAAAAGACATCATTTTGGGAAAATGGGGGGGACAGCAAAAGAAATCCTCACTGAAGTGAGATAGGCACAGTGACTACAACAATGGGTTTGAGCATGAGGTTAGTGCAAAGTTCAGATCTGTTGGTCATAGAGTGGCTATGAGTTATAGTCTACTCTATTACATTTATCAGTAACAAACTGTTAGAAAATTTATTTCTATTTGTTACAACCATTCATTTATGGTAACTTCTTTATAGTTATTGTTAAAGTGCTGTCAAGTCAACTATAAGTCAGAGCAATCCCATGAACCCTACCCTATACTGTGTCATCAGCATAATCTCTGAAATAACTGAGCACACAATTAGCTCATCTGTATCAGTACATCTTGTTCAGGGTCCCCCAGCCGTTTGTTGACCCTCCTCCTTTCCAAACATGATGTCCTTTTCCAAACTAAGACAGGCACAAAGAATAGCTTAATCGGAATAGTGTTCTGATAATACTTGTTTGAATTTTGCCAATTACCAGTCCAAGTTGGTTTCCTCATGTCTAATATTGGGATAATTATGGCATCTACTTATAGGATAGAGCTCTGGCGGCCTAGTTTTAAGAATCTGTGCTGCAATCCCAAAGGTATGTGATTTGGAGATACTGCTCCATGGAAGGATGCCTGTGTGATTAACCGCCTCTGAAAATCCACTGGAGGGTCAATTATGGGTCGGTTTAGACACATCTTAGTCTCTATACTGACATCGTTGCTCTTTAGCTCTCTGGAGAGGTCCCTGACAGCACATTTTACTAAGGTAATTTGTCTTTAGATTTCCTGACTGCTGTTACCAACAGTGTTGATTGTAGACCTGAGGAAGCTGAAATTGTTAACAATCTCAATCACTTCTCCATCTATGATGGTGCTGCTAATTGGCCCAGTGGTGAGAATCTTTGTTTTCTTGACATTGAGCTTCAATGTATATTGCAGACCACACGGCTTGACCTTCTGCAGCAAAAGCTTCTGGCCCTCAGTTTCAGCAAGCAAGGTTGTGTCATCTGCATAACGCAAGTTGTTGATGAGTCTTCTGTCCTAGTGGCCTAGAGCTAGGACAATGTGCTGCAACTCATAAAGCACATGGTTATAATCCACCAGCTGCTCTGTGGGAGGATGAACAATTTACTCCCGTGTGATTTATTGCCTCTGAAAATCCACTGGAGGGCCAGCTATGGGCCAGTTCCAACTGTAGGGCATGCAACAACAGTAAGAACAAGGAGAGTTGTTATTAAATGCTGTTGAGTTAACGATGTCCCAGTGATCCTATGAACAACAGATCTGAATCCTGCCATTCTCTGTGTCATCCTCATGGTCTCTGACATACTTGAGACCATTGCTGCAGTCACTGTACCAGTCCATCTCATTGAGGATCTTCCTATATTTTACAGCCCTTCCCACCTTTGCAAAGGCTGTCCCTTTCTAAGGAATATCCCTCACAGTGATATAATCTCTGACATACGTGAGCCCATTGCTACAGTTACTGAGCCAATCCATCTTGTTTAAGGTCTTCCTCTTTTTTGTTGTCCTTTCCCAGAATGATTGCCCATCTTTCTCCCATGATGCCTGTGGTGGACTCCGACTTCCAAAGCAGGACTACCTGTGAGTTAGCAGGGCACCGTCTACCCAGTGGGCCAACAGAGATCCCTAATAAATAAGCACAATCTAGGGTTTATCTTGCTTACTGGGTACCCAATCCAGTCCCTTGTCGAGGTTTGTACATTTGATTCTGTGAGATGTTCTGGTTCTAGGCGATACAGAAGCTAGCCATACCTAGATGCAGAATATTTGATGTGGTGAATAGAAGTGCAATTGTTTGCTGTTGCTTAATAAGCACAAAGGAACCCTTGTTTGTCAGGTAAGGTAGGATAGATACAGAGCCCTTCACACAGCTCTGGGCCCAGCTCTGGACCCTGCAAGAAGCAGAGGGGGCGCCCCCTGGCGGCAACTGCCCTCGCTCGGCTCCGCTCCCGCTGGGGCCGCGACCGCTGGGCGGCGTATGAGGGAGGAAAAGCGCGCGGGGCGCGCGGGGCGGAGCCTGTCCTGAACCGATGGAGCGCGCGGGCGCCGAGACGAGCGAGCGCAACATGCCCGACTTCCTGCTCGCGCTTCAGACTAAGTACAGAACCGAGGCGCCCCGGGCGCGGGTGGACGAGCAGGACCTAAAACAGTGGGGCCTGACAGGTCAGTAGGCCGCGGCGAACTTTGCCCCAGGCCGGCCCACTCCTAGGGACGCGCGCTCGCCTGGCCCGGAGGCGCCGCGCCGGAACAGTCCGGGGCGCTGGCCGTTCCCCGCGTCCTGTGGGCCTTTCCTGCCCACCCCAAGGAGGGGCAGGCGGCGGGGAGGATTGCAGAGCAGGAGCGACCGTCGGGATCCGGGCCGGCCGGTACTCTTCCCCGGAAATGGCCGGGTGGGTGGGGAGACGTCCTTGGCGCCAAGTACTGCCTCTCAAAAGAGGGCCTGGCGCCGTTCCGAGGACGTGAAAGTGTTTTTCCATTGGTCTGGCGGCCCGGCCTGGGGGGCTTTGGAAGACTATCATTGGTTACTTCTGTAAAACCTTTGAAAGTCGTCTTCCAGTTTACGTTCTTCGTTTACTGTGCACCTGCAGTTTATTAGTAATTCCCCAGTCCGATATTTTGATTTGTGCAGCCAAAAAGCATATTTGTCGCACCCTACTTAGGGTCCTCCCTGCGTGAAACATGCCACCCCAGTTCCTAAGGTCTGTGTGCTTCCAATCTGACCATACCCCCCCCCCCCCAAGACATTTAATTCACGCTTTAATCTCCCCGAACAGGAAACATACTTCTTTTCCTTTGGTGCCATGGAGTCGACCGCCACTCATAGAGACCCTGTGAACAACACATCTGAACCTTACCTATCCTGCACCATTCTAACCGATTTCCATCATGCTCAAGACCATTGTTGCAGTTATTGTCATTCCATCTTGTTGAGACGCTTACTCTCGTTTTCACATCTTTCTCTGTATGATGTCTTTTTCCAAGTACTGTGTTTTCTTGTTGTTATTAGGTGCCATCGAGTCGAGTACGACTCATAACGACCCTATGAACAAAAGATCTGAACCCAGTCCTGTGCCATCCTCACACTTCCTGACACATAAGAGCACATTGCAGCAGTTACCTTGTCAATCCGCCTGGCTGCGGGTCTTCCTCTCCTTCAGGGATTCTCCACCCTTCCCAACATCATGTCCCTCTCCAAGGAATAACACCTCCTAGCAATATGTCCAAAGCATGTAAGGCGAAGCCTCATCATTCTTGCCTCCAAAGGGCGCTCTGGCTGCACCCTCTTCAAGATATATCTGTTTGTTCTATTGGCTGTCCATGGGATGTTCAGTGCTCAAATCCAACACCACAGCTCAAAGGCGTCAATTCTTTTTCTGTCATTCTTATTCATTGTCCAGATCTTGGATCCATAGCTTGTAATTGGAAAGACTAGGGTCTGAATCAGACACACCTTAGTCCTCAAACTGACATCACTACTCCTCAATAATTTGGAAAGGTCCCTAACTGCAGATTTTCCCAATGCAATGCGTCTCCTTATTTCCTGACAGCTTGTACCAAGGGTATTAATTGTGGATACATTCCAAGTACTAGCCTGCCCTAAAACATGCTGAAAGTATGAGATAAAGTTGTACCATCCTTACCTCTAAGAAACACTCTGGTTGTACTGCTTCTAAGACAGATGTGTTCTTTGGCAGTCTGTGGGATATTCAGTATTCTTGTCCAACACCACAATTCAGAGGTGTCAGTTCTTCAGTCATTCCTGCACATTGTCCAGCTGCTCCTTTATCTGCATGACAGAATCTTAGGTCAATAGTAATCTATAACAATGTTATTTTTATAATGCAGTGGAGGGCCACCATGTTACAGTATAGAGATGAGCACATGTATTTTGGGTTCTAAAGATGAGCAAAACTAATATGGCTGCTCTCTTAGAGTGCTAAATGAGCATGCTTTCAAAAATACTGAGTTCCTACTTGGAGCTAAGTATCACAAATTGCAAGAGCTTTTATTAATTTCAGAATGAAATGAATGATGCAGTTCTGTGTCTGGTTTAGGAATTCAAAAGTCAAACTCATTGCTATCTATCTAGTCAGAACTAACTCATAGCTGACTGGTAGTGGGTTTTCAGAAGTTGTATATCACAAGAGAAGAAATGACCCATCTTTCTTCTGAGGAGCCAGTGGTAGAAGCAAACCGACAGATAGTACCTTTTGGGTTAACTGCACAGCTCCCTATAGACCTCACTGCCAGAGTTCCTGTCTGCCTTAGAAGAGGGATGGATAAGGATGAAAGAATAGGATACAGGCAGAGAAAAAAATCTCCTTTTTTAATTTTATTTTGCTTGGATCCATAATCAACACCTATGTTAGCTACATCAAGACATCAAAATACACATTTAAGTCTGCTCTCAAGGACTTTAAGGTCCAAAGGAACAAGGATTCCAGTATAAAGACTAAGGGGCACTTGATCCAACGCATGGGATTTTCATTTGCTTTGTATGCATGTGAAAAATTGGACAGTGAATAAGGAGAATTAATGACTTTAGATTGTGATGTTGGTGAAGAATGTTGAGTATCTCCTGGACTGCTAGGAGAACAAGTGAATCTGTCTTGGAATAAGTGTAACCAGAGTACTCCTTGGAGACAAGGGTGGTAAAACGTGCTCTCACATGCTCTGAGCATGTCAGGAAGCTCCAGTCCTTGGAAAAGGACTTTATGCTGGGAAAACTAGAGATCAATGAAAGAGAGGAGGACTCTAGATGAGGTAGATTGTTAGTGACTTCAACAAAGGGTTTGAGCATAGCAGAGATCATGATGATGGTGCAGCATGGACTTGATTTGTTGTTAATAGGATTGTTAAGAGTCAGAGTCAACTTGATGGTACCTAACAATAGCAGCAACTCTTTGTGTTCTGAGTCCAAGAATGTGTCTTTGTCCTGTTAGGCGTATGTACCCATGTGTGTGTTATTTATGGATAGGTATTTATATGTTTGATAGATCTTGACTAAAGTTTTTGTGCTTTTGCATTTATTTCCTCTCAAATATCCTGGATGTTTCTTTGATAGTATGTGGAAGAGAGAGCTGAAATATGTTGTTGTTGTTATGTGCCATTGAGTTGCTTGCAACTCATAGCGACCCTGTGTACTACAGCCCTAAACTCTTCTCTGTCCTGTGCCAGTTGCACTGTCTCTGGTACTCCCATCCCGATTACCCCAGTCACTGAATCAATCCACCTCATAGAGAGTCTTCCCCTCCTGCGCTGTCCCTCCACCCTCCCAAGAATGATGTCCTTCTCCAAGGACCGGTCCCTCCTTACAACATGTCCAAAATATGTCAGATGAAGCCTCAGAATCCTTGTCTCCAAGGAGCAGCCCGGTTTAACCCTCTCCAGGATGAATCTGTTTATTTTCTTAGCAGTCCATGGTACCCTCCATACTCTTCTCCAACACCACAGCTCAAAGGCATCAGTTCTCCTTCTATCCTTCCTAGTCATTGTCCAGCTCTCTGATGCATAACAAGTGATTGCAAAGACCATGGCCTGTATCAGACGCTTCTTACTCTCCAGAGTGACACCATTGCTCTTCAGAACTTTGGAAAGGTCCCTAACAGCAGACGTTCCCATGGCAATATGTCTTTTAATTTCCTGGATGCTGGTACCATGAGTGTTGACTGTGGAGCCAAGCCAACTAAAGCTGTGAACAATCTCAATCTCTTCACCATCCATCCTGATGCTGCCAGTTGGTCCAGTGGTGAGAATCT